CCCGGGGCCCGCCCCCGGGGCCGGCCCCGCGGGCCGCGTTTCAGGATAAGTAGCTTATCCTGAAACGCACAAGCTGCCCCAAACGGACCCCGTAGTTGAGGCTGAAAAGTCAGTTGCTAATTTGGAAATGAATTAGAGATTAAAATTGATGAAGCTGAATTAGAGATTAACCCTGATGTGGAGAAGGATCTATTGATAGCAAATGAAAATTTGATGAATGCCATCTATATGCAGGAGGATTTCCTTGCCCAAAAGGCTGCTAAGACCAGATTTTGTGAAGGGGATAGAAACTCAAAATATTTTCATGCTTGGATCAAGTTTAGAAGAAAGTGCAACACAAGACATAAGATTAATTTTAGAAGAAAGTGCAACACAATACATAAGATTAAGGAGACTGATGGCAAGTGGCTCCATTCTGAAGATTTGATTGCTGCCAGTGTTGTTAACTACTACCAAACACTCTTTAAACAACCTTCTGCTCTTAGGCCCTCCATCCAGCAAGAGTTGTTTTGCAGGGATGAGAACTTCATGAGGGGATTGGATCTGACATCTATTCCTGGGGAAGAGGAAAATTTGTCAGCTCTGGCTTCCATTGATAGCTCCAAAGTTGCTGGTCCTGATGGATTTTCTGCTGATTTCTATACAAAATCATGGAAGATCATTAAAGATGATATTATAAAGGCTGTCCAAGGTTTCTTCAGAGGTTTGGATCTTCCCAACTATTTTAAATGCTCCAACATAATTCTAATTCCCAAATCTTCTTCTGCTATCTCTTGGGATCTTTTTAGGCACATCAACCTCACAAATGTGATATCTAAAATGATTAGTAAAGTGATCTCAAACAGACTCCAACCCCTCCTTCCCAAGCTTATTTGTGAGAACCAGTCAGCTTTCATTAAAGGGAGAAGCATTGCAGAGAATGTTCTGCTTGCCCAGGAACTGGTGTTGGATCTGAACAAGCAATGAATAAGCATTGCAGAGGTGGGAACCTAATACTTAAATTCGATATTAGAAAGGCTTATGATACCATCAACTGGGATTTCATTGAGGAAGTGTTGTATGCTAAGGGATTTAATGAACAATTTATCTTGCTGATACATAGATGGCTAAGAAATAACTCTCAGTCTGTGTTTATAAATGGTAAATCTCATGGTTTCCTCACCTCATCTAGAGGAATCAAGCAAGGTGACCCACTGTCTCCAACTATCTTCATCATTACTTTTGATTTCTTCTCTAAAATGTTGAATCAGCTCATGGTTTCATCCCCTCATACACTCTACAGTCATAGATCTAACATTGCTGTGAATCATTTAGCATTTACTTATGATGTTATTATCTTTGCCAAAGCAACCAAACCCGCTGTTAAATTGGTTCTTCAATGCCTGGAGAAGTTACAGCAATGTTCTGGTATGCAATTCCATACTAAGAAATGTCTTTTGGTGTTTAGCAAAAAAGTTAAACCTAAACTTAAGCATTGGACTACTGACCTTAGTGGCTTCAAGACCAGCTCTCTGCCTTTAAAATACCTTGGTACTTTGCTTATGAAGGGGAAAACATGACAAGTTCAATTTGATGACTGTATCACCAAAATTCAGGATAAACTAAACTGCTGGGAAAATTCATTCATTTCCAATGGGGGTAGAGTTACTCTTCTAAATAGTGCCTTGACAGCTCTACCATCCTATATCTCCCAGGTTTCTATAATGAAAAAGTCAACACATTTAACTCTGGAAAGAATGTTTAATAGATTTCTGTGGGCAGGTCAGAGGAAGCAAATGCATTGGACCAGTTGGCAAAAGCTGTGTGGAAGCACTAGGGCTGATGGGCTGGGTTTCAAAAGCCTCATTCAGATGTCTCAAATCAATTTTTGTAAGCTTTGGTTGATGTTCAAAGCTCAGAGTTCTCTTTGGGCTAATCTTTTGAAGGGCAAATACTGTGAAGAGGTGCACCCCTCCCTTGTTAATAAAAGACTTGGGGATTCTAGGGCCTGGACCAATATGCTAAAAGTAAGATCTCAGGTTGAAAACCTATTCATCTGGAAAATTGGAGAGGGCAAGCTTAATATTTGGCTGGATAATTGGACTGGTGAGGGTTTAATCAACACTTCATCTAACCCTCAATTTAATCCTGCAACTCAGGTGGCTGAAATATGGTTCAATGGTGATTGGAATCAGCAAGCTTTACAGAATATACTGGATAACAAAACTTTACAGAAGGTTATGAAAAGCAGCATTGATAGAGAAAGTAAAGATATCCTGATTGTGAAAAAGAAGGTATCCCAGTCTTTATCTGCAGCCATTGCTAACTTTTGTTTTCCTCAACATAGAGACAGTTGGAGTAAATGCGTGTGGAATAAATTCTTATCCCCTTCAATGTCATTTTTCTCTTGGAGATTACTCCATGGCTTTCTGCCCACAGATGATATACTGAAGTTAAAAGGTTTGAGAGGTCCTTCTAGATGTGGGTTATGTAAATCCCAAGAGGAAACTATTAAGCACTTATTTTTCTAATGTTCCATAGTTAAACAAGTTTGGAACTGTTTAATTGCCAAACTGACATTAGAAATTGTTCAATTTTTCTAGAATGATTTCTCCCTCAGCTGGAGGGATTGGCAGGACCAAGACTTATCCCCAATTCCTTGTATAACTGCTTGGTTTATATGGATGGCTAGGAACAAGATTAAATCTGAAGACATCTGGGTGACAGCTTCTACCATTGGTACCAAATGCATCAGCTACCTACAGAAATTATATTGTCATGGGAAGCTTCCTGATATCCTTCAAAATACATCCCATAGTCTTCCAAAAAAAATCAAGTAAGCACTCATCCATTGGATTCCTCCACCAAAGGGGGGAATTAAACTTAACACAGATGGTAGCGATGGTAGCACAGATGGTAGCTTTTCTAATCCTTATGCTGGTATTGGAGGGGTGTTCAGAAATAATAATGGAAAGTGTTTACTCTACTTTTATTCTCCTGTTATTTCAAGGGACCCTCTGGAGGCTGAAACAGTGGCTATTTTTTGTGCTATGTTTATGGCCCAAAAGTGTAGCTTCACCTTTATCTTAGAATCTGACTCCAGGGTCCTTATTGATATTATTGAACGGAGGTTACCTACTCCTTGGTACCTATTGCAGTGGATTGAAATGATTTACTCCTTGGGGGAGGGTATCAGATCCTCATACACCCATATATTGAGAGAAGGTAATAGGCCTGCCAATTGTCTAGCTAAGATTAGCCTTCATTCTGAGCTCCCTGGGGTAGGCACTTCTACTACCCCCCAAGTAGAGTTATTGTTGAAAGGAGACATTGTTGTTCTTCCTTTCATTAGAGTTTTTTCTATTTAAATTTTTTGGGAAGGGACTTTTATGCTCCCTTCTCTTGTACCCACCTTTTCCTGTTTAATGAAGTAGGAGCCATTGCCTCCTTTTATTAAATATATATATATATATATATATATAAATTAAATTGCAGAGGAAGAGAAAAGTACATATCTTAGATAGGAGACTTTTAAGATGTCACCCTTTAAAAAAAAGAGGGGGGGAGGGATTAGTGGAGATTAGAGTGGCATCAATTTGGCTTGCAACTCTTGCTAGCCAGTTAGCAGGTTTGTTGCCTTCTCTATAATTGAAGTTGAGCTGACGTTGACACTATTTTTTAAGTTCCTGGATGGGTTTGAGCAGTTGGAGTATGTGCCAGGGAGGAGATAAGGATCCTTCAACCAGCTAGATAAGCAAAGAACCATCAGTTTCAATCATAATATAAAACCATTTCATCTGAGTAGTAATGTAGAGTGCCCACAAAAGAGCAGCTGTTTCAGTTTCAAGTGCAACTTGGGCATGCATAGGGCTGTAGAAATACAACTTGCAGCTTCCTGTATGGTCACTGAAGATACCTCCAAATCCAGCACCCTGCCCATGAAAGCTCCCATCAATGTTGGCTTTGATCCAGGGGTTTGTGGGTTTGATCCAAAAAACTTTGGATATCTTTACTATTTTTAGTGTAGAATTGCTGGTATTATAGAATATTTTAGGGAATCCCTTATGTTTAATAAGCTTGGTTAAGAAGGTTTTACAATGTAACATAGTGAGGTGAGCATTTGGAGTACTGTCCTCATATTTGTCTTTATTTCTGGCCATCCAAGTGAACCAAGTGACCACAAATGGGATGGTGCTCAGATTAACTTTATCCCAATTAATCCAGCAATGAGGGAGGGAAGCCCAATCCAGATTCAGGAGATTTATCTTCAGTTCTTGGGTCAGTTCTGACCAGACCCTTTGTGTGAACCTACATTGAAAGAAAAGATGAGGAATTTGATTCTTCAGCTTTGCAACACAGATGGCATTCTGAAGGTACTCTTAGTCCCTTAAGTTTGAGAATATCATCCACAGGGAGAAGCTTGTGGAAGGTTCTCTAGATTAGAAAAGGCATTGAGAGGGTAAGATATTTGTTCCAAATAGTCTTAACTCATTGCACTTCCTGCCAGCTGTTCCATTTAGAATAGATTGCTTTGGAGATGCTATAAAGCTTACTAGAATTAATCACTAAGTTTTCTTGATTTTCTCTGTTGAATGGGATTTTAGTGATACAAGTAGTAGCTGTTGGATTTATCAAAGTCAGCAATTTTGCCACTGACCAGGAGTCACCATTCCAACAATCAGATACCAGCATGTTAGGGTAAAAAATTGCTGGTCTGGGTGTGAGAAGATCTTGGGGGAACCACTGGTCAAGCCAAAAATGAATTTTTCCTTTACCAAGATCCCACAGGAAAGTGTTTTAAGCCTTTTGTCTGATTTGGAGAAGTTTGATCCAAATGGGGGAGTCCTCCACCTTTCTTTCTACCAAGTTAGGGTGGGAGTGCTTACAGTATTTCCCCATCATGAATTTTGCCCAAAGGAATTTTGCATTCTGAACTTGAGCCAAAGTTTGCACATACTTATTTGTTGTAGGTGATCTAAGCCTTTAAAACCCAAGCCTCGAGTAGTGGTGGGCTTAGTAGTCTTTTGTCAGCTAGCCCAGTGTAATTGGTTCCTTTGTCCAGCCTAAAGGAATCTATTGAAGCTTCTTTCAATTAATAACTTGGTAGACTTCTTCATGTTTGTAACTTGGAGGATGTATGAAGGGAAGGATGTGAGAATGCTTTTTAACAGTGTAATTCTTCCACCATTGGAGAGAAAAGAGTTTGTACAGCAGATGAGTTAAGCATTGATTTTAGTAATCAATGGGCGAGGAAGCCTGAAACTTCTGGTTCTAAGAAGGAAGATGCGGGTCCTTCCACTGGCCGCGCTAAGAGAGGGAGAGTAGCAGTGGAAAACCCAG